AAAAAAAAAAAAAAAAAAAAAAAAAAAAGCCAGGAAAAAAAATTAAAAAAAAAAAAAAAAAAATTAAGACCAGCACAGAACCACCATGAAATCGCGTATGAGAACCGAGGTACCGCTCATTGCCACCACTAAGCTCACCACCGCCACCGGTTTTCTCCAGCAAGTTTCCCCAACGAGCTGCAAGAGCCCTGCCGCGCAGGGAAGCAGCAAGCACGGTCGCTAGGGCTGGCTGCCCGCGCTTTGGCAGGAGATTCTAGCACCCCATGCAAAGCCTGGCTTTTGGAAACAGGTACACTTCAGCCCTCCGAAGCACGACTGGTAAGCGCTGCCATGCTAAGCGCACAACCTCAGCTGTGTGTGGGAGATGAAAAGTGGATAAGCCCCATGTAACTTGCCTTTTACCTGAAGCTGTAGCCACTGCTGGCTTACTGTAAGAGACTAACACCTCTACAAGTTACTGAGCATCAGGACAAGTCCACCCACAACTTACCCTGAGGCGAGGCCAAGATGCTTTGGACATGGAAAGAATTTCAAGGTGCTCAGGAAAATAAAAATAAGAAGGACACTACATGCAATTCATCCAGCCTGGCAATTCACTCCTTCAGGGAGACGGGGAGCGCGATGCAGCACCGCCAAGGCATGGAGTGGAGCGTATCACCATCTACAGGTGGCTACATACATTACATATCGGCATTAAAAGATACCGGTATTAACATAATTGCCCCGGCCAGCTTCAAAAATAATCAGTGAGGCTAAAACCTTAACACCAGTTGCAGTAACTTAAACAGAACTAAAACCAGTGCACATTAAAAAAAAAACAACATCAATTAAAATCGAACTCACTGTAGCCATAGCAAATTAAACTGCTGTGAGCCTTTCTGAAAACTAGTTGAAGCATCTGAATTGAAGCATTTATATGCGTGTATAAAAAAATTCCTGGCTGTTAACATTCGAACTCTACCCTCCCAGGGAGAAGTGCTTTAGCTGAAGAGAGCTTATCAAAAGGAACAGACTTCATAAACAAACAAACAAACAAACAAACAAACAGATGCTTCCATGTTCCAAAAGAAAAAAGTTTGAGAAAGCAAATTCTGAAAGATAAAACGACTGACTGTCCAACACCACACCAGCTCCATGGTACTGTGGCATAATTCCTGGGATGTCACCTTCGCTCAAACGCAGCGCATCGTAAGAGCGAGAGGGGTAATTAAAGCAGTTGTTTAATAACCTGCCAACTATACCGTCTGACCTGGCTCTGAGGTCAACAAGACACTGAAGTGGGGAAAAACAAAGACAGGAAAAAAAAAAAAAAAAAGTCATCGGTGTCATCCCTGTCCTGTCCCCCCCCCAGTAATTCAATTCCCTTTGCAGGGCCTCAGGGAGGAGATTATCCCCGCGGATTAGAAGGGAAGCTGCAGGAGACTGGAAAAGATCCTAGTGCCCTACACTGAGAAGAACTCACTCGTACCGGACTTGGGAAGGATGGGGCTCGGAAGCACAGCAGTCGATGCCCCAGTACGGCTTGCTGGGATCCCATGCCGCTCTTTTTGTTTGCTTGCTCTGCTGAATCTCCAACACTCACTATAGTATTGGCTAATCTTCATCCGACAGTCTTGCAGGAAGAGGTAGCTGCAGGGATCTGCCTGGCCCCAGAGACGATGCTAGGATGCATGGCTTTTCACCTCACCGCTGGTTATTCCAAACGAATCCTGGTGAGCAGCAACCACCTGCTTAAAAATCCATGATCTCGGATCCAGTGAGGTCTTACAGTGCAGGCATCATCTAAAAAGAAAGGAAAACCAGCACCACGAAAATGCGGTTATGCCTGGCTTATTCAGCACCCCTAACACAACTCAGTACAAGCAAACACTCACAGGGAACCTTGCAATCCGGGATTTTATACTACAGGCTGTATCTGCTGGACAGGGAAATGCCACGCATCCATCCTTTTATGGTTTTTCCAGTTTCCATACAGCAATTCCTTTGGCACATCCATAGACGAACTCGGGCAGAAGGCAGGAGGAGGAGGAGAGTCTCTCTCCAGAGCTCGATATAACACAGCTAAATGGATTAGATCACTAAATAAAACGAAGATCTGGAATAAAGACTATAAGGGGAGTTCTTTCCCTTCCTTCCTTCCTTTAGTTTTTTTCCCCACAACATCCTATCCCCAGTCTCTTAAAAACACTGGGAGACTCCACAAAGAAAAAACCAACAGAGCACCAGCTCCACACTTGGGAGACATGAACCAAGAAGTTATTTTATTTCTAATTTTTAGAATC